CTCTCTCTCTCTCATTCTCTCATCTGTCAGATGAGAGTAACGGAATGATGGGATAGCAGACTCTACCACGTGGTTGCTGTGAGGTTAGGAAAAGCTATGCCATCATTAGTGATTGTTTTGACATTTAATTTGTATCTTCCTCAAATTTTTTAAGATTCAGGTCTTATGAGCAGCTTATGAAAGCCCCCATATAGCAAAACAAAGATAATATTTTTCTAAAATAAACCGGCAAGGAAACAGGGCTATCCGTTGATCTACAGGGCAGGTTTGCCCCTGGTCTCCATTTCATTTTCCAAAGTGCCCTGACATCCTGAGCTGGAGAAGGAAGTGAAAGGCACCTTACAAATACTGCAGAAAACAAGAAATAATTGATACCTAAGAACTGTCACTCCTGGGAAATCAAACATTGCTGTGGCCATAAATATCAGAAGTTCTCCCTTGAGTACTGAGCTCACAATGATAAAAAAAAAGTCCATGATATAAGAGTTTATTTGTTAAGTCTATGAAAAAGCATTAAAAAAAATAAGCCATACTATCCTTTAAAAATAATTCCATCAAAATGGAAGCCAGTTTGAAACTAAAGCAGACCATACAATAAACCAGCTTTGTTCAGGAAATACCCTCCTTTTCTGCTGAGCTGATTGTAGTGCTGTCAATCAACCGATCGTGCAATTCCAAATTAATCTTCCTAAAGCACTGCTTTGTTCCTGCCTCATCCCTGCCCATAAAACACTCAAAGGCTCCCTCCTGCCGGCTGAATTGAACCCAAAGTCCCCAGGCTGGCGGTGCTGGCCCTGTGCAATCTCGCTCTCCAGTTTGATGAAAAGGGCTCACACATATGCTCCCACCACAGCCCAGGTGAGCGGCCATCTTTATCCTGCTGCAAAGACCCCTCCCCTGTGTGTCTCTATGCATCTCAGCCTCCTCTCACTCACAAACCCTCTTTCAAAGAGGTCTGTTTCTTTTGGCAAATAGCTCTGGTCTGGCTGCTATCATTAATGAGGCTTTGTCTGGATGGGAGGGTATCTCCGATCCACATGTGTCTCAGACACAGGCTATGTTCCTGGACCCTCTTAGTTTTGACAAGCCCTATGTGACTAGTAGGATGCTAGGCTGTGGCGCACATCCTGACCCCCCCCCCCAACACAATGCTCCCTTGCTCTGCAGCATCTTGTCTGCGCTGTGTGCCAGCCTGCCCTTGTTTCCACACTACCACACTCCTTACCCAACCTTGGGACCATTCATGAAGCTACCCAACTCTACCAAGGAGCCATGCTGCCTCTGAGGTGGGTGTGGCAGCAGCTCCTATCTGAACTTTCGTGGTTTGATGTTTCTAAAATTATTTGGGGGGTGGGTGTCAAATCCAAAGCCAGCCTCAGCTATGCAGACAGGTCCTGTATAGAAAAGAGAAAGAAAAAGAGAAGGGAGAGAAGGAGGAAGGGGAGCAGAGAGGCAGCAAGAATAAAGTTTATCACAAGCTTTTCCTCGCTTTGACAACAGGCTCCCTAAGCATGGGCAACAATGAAGAAACCAAATCAATTAAACTAAAAACACAGAGTCAAGACAAAGCCCAGATTTTTGGTAAACAGAACTATAGTAGTGGAAATTGAAAGAGACCAGAGGAGGGCGAGAGGGAGATTAAGAAAATAATGCTGCTTTCATTAGGGTACCACACTGTTTCCTCCTGCATCCCTGGAATGGCATCATTAGGGTATCACACTGTTTCCTCCTGCATCCCTGGAATGGCATCATTAGGGTACCACACTGTTTCCTCCTGCATCCCTGGAATGGCGTCATTAGGGTACCACACTGTTTCTTCCTGCATCCCTGGAACAGCATCCAAGTATATCAAAGAGCCCACTGGAGCCAGCGTCCGCCCGCGCTGCCCCTGCTCTCACTCCCAGCCAGCCCAGCCACGCTCCCCACATCTCACCTTTAATCAGAGCCTGGAACTCTTTGTGCTTGACCGTCCCTCTCTGAAGATCAATCTTTAAGGTCATGAGTAGCACAAAGAGGAATTTGTGGTTCTCGTACAGGCCTCTCACAGAGTAGGTAAAAACCTCATATGTCAGGTACTCGATGATATTTGTAATTCTTTTTTGAGGTAGTGGAGACTTTTCAGATCTGCAGTCCATTTTTAAAATCAAGGAGATAAAAAAAACCCATTTTCTTTAAGACTGGAAATAACAAAACGCGAGTGTATGTTTCTGTGAGAGGGTGTGGGGGGGTGAGGGGGGATGTATATCTATGTGACCAGAGTTTGACATCTGATGTCTGGTATCTTCCTCAATCTATCAACACCTTATTTATTTATTTTTTGGTTTTTTGTTTTGTTTTGTTTTTTGGGTTTTGTTGTTGTTGTTGTTGTTGTTGTTGTTGTTTTTCAAGACAGGGTTTCTCTGTAGCTTTGGAGCCTGTCCTGGAACAAGCTCTTGTAGACCAGGCTGTTCTCAAACTCCCAGAGATCCGCCCTGCCTACCTTTGCCTCCTGAGTGCTGGGATTAAAGGCATGTGCCACCACTGCCTGGCTTTTTTTTTTTTTTGGACCACCTTATTTTTTTTAAGAACTATTTTTTATTTTTAAGTGTGTGTATATGTGTGCATGTGCGTGCAGTTGCCCACGAAGGCCAGAAGAGGGCATCATATCACCTAGGGCCAGAATTTTAGGAGTTAGTTGTGAGTCACCAGATGTGGGTGCTGGGAACCAAGTTCCAGTCATTTGTAAGAGTAGTGTGTGCTCTTTACCACAGAGCCATCTCTCTAGTACCCACCTTATTTTTGGAGACCGGTCTTTCCCCTGGACTTGGAGCTCACTGATTGGCTACACTGGCTGGCCAGAGAGCTCCAGTGATCCATCCACTTCTACTTCCAAGCATGAATTTACAGCTGTCTGCTGCCATGCCCAGGCCATTGATGTGGGTGCTGAGAACCTGAACTCAAGTCTTCATGTTTCCATGCCAGAGACTTCATAGACAGAGCCACCCCAACCCCTCTGCCCCAACCCCAGCTACCAACACAAAACTTTAACTTGCCATTTTGAAAATGACCAAGGGGAAGGCGGGAAGGACTTGCCTGGCCATGGACTGGTCGAACAACTTGAGGAACTGAGCCAGTGAGGTCTGGTACATGATGTTGACCATGCTCATCTCTGTGATGAGGAAATAAAGGATGCTGCCCCGGGTGGCCGCAGGCCGGAACTCCTCCTGAGCTGTGTTGATCTTGATCTCCGTTTCGGCGGCCACGTGGAGTTTTTCGCTTACTTCTGCTGCCGTCTGCTTGGTGATGCGCAGGACACCAATGAGAGACTCGTCGTCCACCAAGGAACCTGAGAATCAAAGCAGCAGAAAGGAGTTACTGAAGAACAGGAGGGTTGTTTCAAATACTGAGTTTCTAACCCAGAGGCCACAAGAAGGAGCACTCAACGCCAAAGTGTCCCTGGTCCAACCACCACCCAGAGCCTGGATCTTTCTAAACATTCCTGCTGAGGGCTCGTCATCCTCCACTCCACCTGAAAAGCAAAAGCAGGAGACTGGAGAGATGGCTCAGTGGTTAAGAGCACTGGCTGCTCTTCCAGATGTCCTGAGTTCAATTCCCAGCAACCACATGGTGGATCACAACCATCTGTAATGAGATCTGGCGCCCTCTTCTGGCGTGCAAGCATACACAGAGGCAGAATGTTGTATATATAACAAATAAAAATAAATAAATAAATCTTTTTTTTAAAAAAGCAAAAGCAAAAGACAATACGACAATATCTGTTTTGATTTTACATATGTTTGTGCACGTGCATGCATGTGTGCATGTGTGAGTGCATGCGTGTGTGCATGTGTATGTGTGCGTTCTTGTTCATTTGCTTGCAGGTACATGGCAACCTCAGGTGTAGTCCCTCACAGTCTGACACCCCTTGTATTTTGAGACAGGGTCTCTCACTTGACCTGAGACTTACCAAGTAGGCTAGGCTGGCTGGTCAGCAATACTCAGAAATGTGCTTGACTCGACCTCCCCATACTGAGGTTACAGGCATGCACCACCACATCTGGCTTTTTAAAATGGATTCTAGTGAACTTAACTCGGGTCCATCCTCTTGCCCGGTCAGGCAAACATATTTTTGGCTGAGCCATCTCCCCTGCCCAACAGGTTCGAATGTTTGAAGACAATGACTCTGTCTCCAGGGGTATCAGCGTCACCTGTGGGATATACTGTCACCCCATTATCGCCTTGGTAATTCTCGCCAAGATGTCTCCAGGTCATAAGTTCTTCACACTGGGTACGAGCTGATGCAAGCACCGTACCCAGGCTGAGGAGCTAGCAGATGAATGGGACATTCTCTCCCCACTTGTTAGTGGCAACCTAGGCCACTGTATGCCTCTAACAAGAATTAACTGGGATATAGCTGAAGTGTCTCACCAAGAAAACCAAGACCTGCTTTTCACTGAGCCCACTGTATGCACGCATGTATGGAGGTGTGTATGTATAACGCATGTTTGGGTCATGCTAGCCCACAGCCAGAATCATAGCTCCTTTGTTAATATTTTATTTTGAGACCAGCTCTCGTTAATATAATCCGAGGTGGTCTCACATCCCCAATCCCTGTGCCCCAACCTCCCAAGTAGCTGGGGCACAGGTGTGTGCCACCACACCTGGCCTTGAGGGCATCCTAAGGCCATCATCATTCTTGGATACTGAGGTTTAGTTTTCTTCTGACCCAGGGATTAAAGTGACGATGGAATGGACTTCTAAGTCAACTACTAACACACGGTGGAATTTAACGGGGTTGCTGGGTTTGCCTAAAGAATACTGCTGAGCTTGTTGATTCTCTTTTCTTTGCATAAAATCTTGGGTTTTTTTTTGTTTGTTTTCTGTTTGTTTGCTTCCTTGTTGGGAGCCAACGTCTTGCTATGTAGCTCTGACTGGCCTGGTGCTTTCTATGTAGCCCTGGCAGCCTGCAGGAATCCTCCTGCCTCAGGTACTCCTCCCAAGCGCTGGGGTTACAGGTGTGCACAGAAAACCTTTTTTCATCAGTGTATGACAGAGTGGGCACCGCTGCAAACTGGGATGTGGTATAATGATTCTGGCTCCCCAGAGGAGACAGTACCCTTGACTTCTAAGTGGGAGTCATCTGAGATGAGCCAGGCCCTCGGTTAGACACGTTTTCCTGATTATGAATGGCATGTGCTGTACGTGACCCATCATAGTAGCTTCATTTCGATGCTAAATGAAAGAGCTGATGGATTGATAAAAATAAAATAAAAAATAAAAAAGACGGAACACACGCGCGTCCTCTGGGCAAGCAAATGAGGCCATCACGAGCTCCTAGGTTCTGCTTAGGAGCCCTTGTTTGGCTCAGGAGAGGGTGATTATATCAACAAGATGGTACTAGTCTCAGCCGCTGACTCCAGTTGCTAATTCAGACATCAGATTCCCCGTGGTCTTTCTTTACCGCCTACACGGAAGCCACCCCGCCTGCTTGTGCTTTGGGAAGTTGGCTATTTCCTCCCATCTGTGATCACCGCGGCACTGAAGGGGGCGCACGGAAAGGAGCTCCTTCCTTGGGAGCCAGGGCTTGACGGGCTGTTAAGGGCGCGGTACCTTTGGTGGCGCTCAGCTTACACGGGCTGTTAATGGCGCGGTACCTTTGGTGGCGCTCAGCTTGCACGGGCTGTTAATGGCGCGGTACCTTTGGTGGCGCTCAGCTTGCCCAGCAGGTTGTCCTCCAGCTCCTTCATCCTCCGCCTGTTGACGGTCACGTCCTCCAGAAGCTTCACCCTCTCCGACTCCAGCTCCTGAGGTCAGGACACAAACAATGGAAGCTGGGCGTCCTTGTCACCGGTGCTTACAGCAAACCAGGCTTGCCGGTGTTTTATCAGCAACACCAAAGGGTTTGACAACATTACATCTTGAATGGCGGAAGAAAGGATTGTCATTAGTAAGGCCAATTTATATTTGTGTTTCTCTGGAGAATTGAGAAAATGATGCCCACTGGGGCGAACATTTCGTAGATCTGGGGCTGAGAGATGGCCCAGTCAGTAAACCACCTAATGTACAACTATGAAAACCTGAGTTCAGATCCCCAGAGACTCTTGACTTAGCAGCCTAAACATTCGGCTGCTAAGTCTCCTGAGAGCCAGGACATTGTCCTCCTGCAGAGTCCAAGCCCATCCTTCAAGCCTAGCATATTTAACAGTGGCAGGCATTCTTGTAGAGTCTAAATCAAAGTGACATTAATAACAGTCATCTTTTTACTTATTTTTTCACAGACGTGAAGGGGCATGCATGTATGCATATGTATGTTTTTACACGTGTTGGGGCTCCTACATGTATGTGGGTGTGCATGCAAGGGTGATGTTCAGAATCATCCTGAATTGCTCTTCTACCTTAAACATGGAA